TATTTTCGCTGTAGCTTTTTTCGTTGTCTATGTAATATTTCAAAAGTACCACTTAATTTAAGAGGCTTGTTTCGAAAAGCGGGGGGGGGTCAGGCTTCAAGCAGATACGGATTTTGGTCGGTGATTAAAAACAGCTGTTTTACGTCGCATGTAGTCAAAATGGTGAGTCGTTCACCAATGTGTTCGCAGTGGTGATGCACGTCTTTTATTCTCACCGTAGCGGTTTTGATATTGAGGTAAATACATATTTTAGAAACATCCCTCTGATGTCGCTGAATTGTTTTCGCCCGGCTATTTTACCGGTAGTGACTCGCGGTGCTGGCTGCAACTGTTGCTGATTATACGGACTGCGCTAATATTCTTTTCTGGTTTTGGGCCTTGCCAGTCGCGTTTTACAGATATGTACTGCAACTGTTGGCCATTTTGCAACTGTTTTCAGTATGTCGGGCAACTGTTTCAGATTATTTGCTTATAATGATTATTCCTTACTTAAGTGGTATAACAGTAACGGTAAGACGGTGGGGTTGTCTTTGTTACTAGTGATACTACAATGATAGTCCGATCTTTATGTAAATGCAATGATTGTGTGTTTGCAATTGAAATGAACTTCGAACTTGAAGCACATTATATTTACATGCCCTGTGAGCAGTAATGGATTTAATCGATTTTTGTATGTTTTATGGTTGTGGCGCGCACTTATTGTATTAACCGTTGCCTAATGTCTGCACAGTAGTTCTGGCGTTGACGCTTGGGATTATTACCTCCATGAAAAATGGAGGTATTTTTTTGGCGTGTCTGTCTGTCTGTTTGTGTGTGTTTGTGTGTGTCTGTCTGTCTTTGTGTGTGTGTGTGTTAGTGTTTCCGCACATTTGTAGTCAGCAAAACTTCAGAACGCCTTCATGGATTGTGATGATATTTGGTATGCTGGTAAGTCTTAGAAAGAAAAAGGTTAAGGTTAAATATGGACCTCCTAAGGGAGGACCTTGGTACTGCAGCACAATTTCCGGTTTTTGTATATTATGTCCTGAACACGCTGTGGTCTTGATGTTTTGGTGACAGATAGCTTTTGCTGTCAGGAATAAGTAATATGGGTTTGATCCCCCAAGCAGAGGACTTTCTGGCGAGATTTTTAAAAGCCATTAAAGTCCAGATAGGAACAACGTATTTTGATCATTTTTGGAGTGTAGGTAGCTGAGACAGACTTTTTAAATTATTAAATGCAAATTATGCCAATGAGGACTTAATTTGCATAATTAATGATGACATTCTATAATTTCATTGTTTTATATAAAAGTAATTTTATACGTATAATCTATTTCATCTGTGGCAGGCGAAACATCAACAAATACCAATTATGCAAATGATGACCTAGTTTGCATAATTAACCTTCAAACACCCGAACAGGGTCCAATTGAACACCAGACGTATATTTTAAGTGCTATCTGAATTTCTTTTTTTATTCTAAAAAATTCCTCCCGTGACTTTGTCAGTAAACCTCTTCTACAAGTTCTCCTAATTTTTTTTTGAGATCGGCAAAAATTTGTACAAATAACAATGGAAGTCTTATGTAAGACCGTCTGGGGTCCAAATGGACATCAGCCATGTATTTGCACTTTCCTAAACACGAAATTGTTCGGATGTCCTCAATATGTCTTCAAGGAAGCATTATTAAAGCAATAATATTATGCAGTTTGCCAAGTAACCTCAACCTCAGGAATTATTTCATCAGGTTTTCAGAGGTTTCAAAATTTGACAATCATATGAGGTCAAAGGTGAACCCCATGTTCATTCCTGCAGGCCTCATCCTATTTTCGCATAAATTATGATAATAAGCTGGAATTTTTTTAACACTTAATCATGCCAAAATAAACATCTTAAGTAACCCTAAACAGTACACCTGGGGTCCGCGCGGACCAGCACTATATATTCTGTAATATCTTTTTTGTTTCTAAAGATTTTTTTCTGAAATTTTAGGTAATTGTCACCCACAAAGTTGTCTCTCAACACAGTGCTGAAAACTCCGTTTCTACCATTTATGAAAAAAATTATATCTGATTTTCTTTTGGGGTCCGCGCGGACCCCAGCCGGCTTTCGATCATAATGGATACACTGGCGTTCTTATACATTACCTTATTTCCGTTTTTATATGTTATTATGCACTCATCGTATGTCTACCAAGTTTTCAGAGAATGGTGTAGTAATAGAATTAAATTTTGATAACTTTGGTGTAGTTATGACGTTATATGACGTCAGAGCTAATAATATAGTCCGCCATATTGGATTTTGACCAATGACGTCTCAAATTAGCATATTCTTTGCATAGTAAATGATTTAACTTATATTTAATTATGTAAGATGTTATTGATGTTGGAAAAGAAGTGTAATTTAATATAAAACTCAGAAAATTCTTATGTTTAAACCAAAATTACTTCTATTTAAAAAAAAAACCTGCCTGCTAGAAACCCGTTGCCATGGCAACAAAAAAAACATCAACTTACTAGTATCAATCTAATATGAACTTTTTTCCAGAGACATTTTAGGAAAGGTCTCCAAATTTGATACTTCTAGCGCAAGCCGTTTAGCCGCTATCTGAGATCAAAGTTGGGCCTCAAAAGCCCCTTCAGTCTGAAATGGGTTTAAAAATCGGGTATTTCTTCTTGTCTTCTTTTCTTCACCAAAAAATTGAAAAAGTTCCAAATGTATGATTTTTGTATGTAATGTGGACACAGAGGTTTGCAAAACAATTGAGCTGGTAGCATGTTGATAATTTCTAAAAATTAGCAAAAAACTGTTCTGGGGTCTGCGCGGACCCCAGGTGTACAGATTAATCAGTCCGGGAAGGTGTTCTGTTGAGGGTTAATATGTTTAAGCAATATATGTTCAAAGGTCACTGAAAGGATGTAAAGGGGAATATAAATTTGAAAGAAACCAAATGGGGTCCATTTGGACCCCGTTCGGGCATGAACGTCACAAAAAAAGTTCGGGTGTTTGAGGGTTAATGTGAAAATTCTGTGATTCCTTTTGGTGAATGATGGGAATTTTATACCTTGTGACATGTGCAAGTTACTGAAAGGTTAACACCATCATGCATATATTATGTTAATGTAGAGATAATTTGCATAATTAATGAGGACATGTTGAAATGAAGTATAACAAATTTTATGAATATTGTCATTTGAATTTAGAAAACCATTAATCAAACTACATTATGATAATTACGACGTTATTTCTATAGTCAATTAGACAAATAAAAAACATTTACAAAAACTCACATGTTTAATGGAGTTATGAGATCTCCTAATTCTTGTTTTTTTGCAAAATATAAAACTTCACGGAGGATTGTCGAATATTTCTATTTTTTAAGAATTTTTTAACAATTGTCCATTGATCCCATGCAGCTGCACAAAAATGTCCATGATTTACCCTGTAAAGAGACATTGTTATCTAGTTTATTATGGTTTTGCATGGTTTTCTCGTGCAATGACTCTTAAACTCTATTGAACGAAACGTATTTAATTAACCCTCAACAGTACACCTTCCCGGACTGATTAATCTGTACACCTGGGGTCCGCGCGGACCCCAGAACAGTTTTTTGCTAATTTTTAGAAATTATCAACATGCTACCAGCTCAATTGTTTTGCAAACTGATGTGGGAACCTCTGTGTCCACATTACAAACAAATATCATACATTTTGAACTTTTTCTATTTTTTGGTGAAGAAAAGAAGACAAGAAGAAATACCCGATTTTTAAACCCATTTCAGACTGAAGGGGCTTTTGGGGCCAAACTTTGATCTCAGATAGCGGCTAAACGGCTTGCGCTAGAAGTATCAAATTTGGAGACCTTTCCTAAAATGTCTCTGGAAAAAAGTTTATATTAGTTTGATACTAGTAAGTTGATGTTTTTTTGTGTTGCCATGGCAACGGGTTTCTATTTTTCAAAATAGAAGTAATTTTGGTTTAAACATAAAAATTTTCTGAGTTTTATATTAAATTACACTTCTTTTCCAACATTAATAACATCTTACATAATTAAATATAAGTTAAATCATTTAATATGCATGGAATATGCTAATTTGATGACGTCATTGGTCAAAATCCAATATGGCGGACTATATTATTAGCTCTGACGTCATATGACGTCATAATTACCCCCAAAGTTATTGAAATTTAATTCTATTACTACACCATTCTCTGAAAACTTGGTAGACATAAGATGAGTGCATAAAAACATATAAAAACGGAAATAAGGTAATGTATAAGAACGCCAATGTATCCATTATGATCGAAAGCCGGCTGGGGTCCGCGCGGACCCCAAAAGAAAATCAAATATAAATTTTTTTATAAATGGTAGAAACGGAGTTTTCTGCACTGTATTGAGAGACAACTTTGTGGGTGACAATTACCTAAAATTTCAGAAAAAAATCTTTAGAAACAAAAAAGATACTACAGAATATATAGTGCTGGGGTCCGCGCGGACCCCAGGTGTACTGTTTAGGGTTAAATCAGAACCATTTGTCTAAATTATAAGGAAATGCTTAATAGCCTTCTTTGTTAAATTTATTCGTAGACAGGTGCCATGCATATAACCAGCTCAATCGGGTCTAACGTTCATAAAACATGCTAATTTATGGTGTTAAGTTTAAGCTTAGTTCAAGCACAGCGATGAAGAACTCACCCTGAATTTACACACATACTCGTCAACCTTCGAGTTAGATGAATGATCTATTCGCTGACTTTCTGGATGTGGTGGGAGATTTAATCTTCCGGTTAGTTTTAATTCACGCTTCTGACTTCCGGAAAGCCAGTGAGTGGATTATTCATTTGACAATTTTATAATTAAGTTAATTTCGACGAAAAATTCAGGGTGAGGTTCTTCCTTTTGTGTTGAAACAAAGCTTAAACTCTTGATTGTAGAACACAGATGACCTTACAATAGAACCTGTTAATTTGTATCTAAAGTCTAATTAATAAACATAGTTATCATAGTTGTCCTGACAGGATGCGGGCAGCCATGGCGATGTGGACGGTCCTGCTGCTGTTGGTTGTCAACACAGGTAGGAGAACTGGCATGCAGATGTATTATAGTCTCCTTAACATTGCCATAATTAACATACAAAGAAATTAAAGCTAATGACACAAATGATAATCGTACTACAAGCATATTCTTTAAAGTTTGCTGTTGGCTTAACGTACAATTTGTAGCAATGATAATACATTATTCAAAGCCGTTAGTTTGTAACATGTCATCTTTACTTCTAATTGAATTTAAGGTTATTACTAAAAATTCGTCATTTGAAATATTTTCGACAATATTTTACAAATATAATCATTTACTCATACCTCAATGGATTCGAAAAGCTATATTCCTACATGTAAATAATTAAAGGTACTGTAAGTTATAGAGTACCTTACAAGGGACTTAACGGTTATTGCGAAAAATACTTGTCATGTGGAATCTTTTGGATTATATTTTTCGAATGATATGACTTGGTCATACTTCTTCAAAATAATGTGAAACACCGTAAGGTGCAGTAAGTTACAAGTGCACTTTAAATTCTAAGAATAATCTTTATCATTTTGGCTCAGGCCCACCCAGTTTGTCCAGCTTGGTATTAAACAGCCCAAGTCATAAAGCGCAATATTAAGACATATATCTATAAAATTACAGTTATACACGAAAGTTCATGTTTGTCAAGAAACCCCGTGCATAATCGGTAAGAAATAAAATTAAACTGTATGTTAATGTCTAGGTAGCGTAACTGCTGGCCATGAGTATGAGGGCTATGACTACTGGGTAAACCACAATTTGCTGTCCTACTGGGACGCAATGAATAGCTGCGGTGACCGTGGCCATCTTGTGGACTTCAGTAAAGGGACATCTGACGGTAGCTTTAACTGGGATATTCAGAGGCACCTCACTCGGAATGTTATTGGCAACTACTGGCATCTCTTTTGGGCTGGACTCCAGGAGGTACATTCCAGTTACTTGCTTTATCTTTACAAAGAGCCTTGTAAACTCAAAAGCGTTCCATGCTGAATACGAAACCTAACAAGTCTTTCACCGACACTTTGTATTTTTGCACATGTAAAATAATGCTCAAACAGACCTATCAAGTCGTTCTTCACCGAAGTTTCTTATTTTGTACACACAATAGAATATTTAAAGTTAAGTTGGCTCTGTGTATGTAACAGTCATGTGACAGCTACCTCTTGTTACTTTTATGAATTATCAATTTTGGTTGAACCTAAACTATTATTATTTATCATCTAAGTTACATTTGATTTGATTTCTGTATATGACCAGTACTACTTAATTTCCTGTATTTATTATATATTATGTTAAGTTATAATTTATGTTATATCTGATTCTCTGTACCTTTTGATTTGTTTTGATTTTGTATTTTGTCGGTATCTTATAAGCCCATATGGGCTGGGGGACATATTGATCGCAATGGCACGAAAATAAACATTCATTCATTCATTCATTCATTCATTCATTCATTCATTCATTCATTCATTCATTCATTCAAACAGACCTATTAAGTCATTCACCGACGACATTCAACATTAATTAATGCCGCATCAGCCAATGCTTTCAAACGCCTTTATTCTTGTTTAATTTATTTGTCTTTAACTATGTGTTTAAGAATGTAATCTATATTCCAGTACGATGATTGGACATGGAGATGGCAGGCCAGTGGCACTATTGCTAGTGTCCCCTGGCATGGGGGCGAACCAAACAATAGATATCAAAATTGCGGCCTGTGGAAGTGGAATGTTGTGTACAGAGTCTGGGCCTTTGATGACGAGTTTTGCACCCTAATATCTAAATCCATTTGTCAAGAAGGTAGGTAAATTATTCAGATTAAATTGCCCACTTAGTAAGGAAACTTCTGTTAATACGCGTGGTAGCCATGTCTTCTTCTGAACATAATACTCTTAAACTTTTCAATCACACTTGATGTAGATTGATAACATACATGTCATTATTGATTTGACTAAGGCGGAAATAGTATAAAGGCGGGGCGGCATGCGCAATAAATGTACCAAAATATACATCAGAGGTTTATGTTTATTTCAGGCTCGAAGGCCTATAGCATACAGACACATAACACGACACAAAACTTATGTAAAAACAAACGTCAAAGTCTGTAAAGATAAATGTAAAAAAAAAAAAATAACGACCTATCCTGCCACAGGGAGGTCCCCTTACGGTGGGTCGGCCACGTAATAATTCAGAACAGGCTAGAGAAGAATGCCTCCGAACGTATTAACAGTTTGATAATGGCTTTACCTGACCCTATCAACCGAAAAGCAAACGATTACAGCGCTTGGCCTTACGTGTCCGCACAGATAGGTCTCTATTACTAGTACTTCATTGCTGAGACAAAAGAATTTTAGGCAGTCATGGTAGGCAACTCGCAACCCATGCATGGTTTGAGATCAATAGCTAGACCAAAGTTGAACACAATACACCACAATGTGATATGAAGAGAATGCGTTTCACGTTTAATTTCATGGATTGTTAGTTGTTATTTTTACATTAAATGCTCTTGATAACTACGAATTTTAATCAATCCAAATCTAACCTACCTTTTTTTAACCAAGACGTCGACGAATGCCATGGTAACAACGGAGGCTGTAATCACAACTGTGTGAACACTGACGGGAGCTACCGCTGTGAATGTTGGCGTGGATACGAGCTGTCTGGGTCAAGGACCTGCGTTGGTGAGTGCGGCCATTAAACACTGAGTGAAGACATATTAGGCCCTTGTAATTTCGAACGTTTTGCAATTTTTAAAGATTTGAATTCTTTTGATATCTTTTTACAATATCCTAACAAAAACGCCTGCAAGCTAGCTTAAACGGATGTCACATTAAATGTCTACAACCTAAACGTTGTGTTTATACAATGCCAACAACTAAGGGATATAAAACAAAAAAGGCCCTAAGTGTTCTCATATTTTCTCATTATACACATTTTTTTAAATTTCTTAAACACACGTCTAACCAACATTTTGAGTTGCCTTGGAGAATTCTTTGTGCCTGTGTCTGTCTGTCAGGCAGGCACAGACAAACGCTGCCTAGAAATTAACATCAATGAAGATGACAATATAATCAGTAGTACTTCTACTCATGTTTAAACAGATAATTAACTTTCACGTCATGTTTTTCTACGTCAGAGATCAACGAATGTGAAAGTTATCCGTGCCTCAATGGTGGAACCTGTCGGGATCTAAATGACACTTACAGATGTGACTGTGTCCAAGGATGGACGGGACGCAACTGCCAAACAGGTAGGTTAGCTAAAAATACTGTGATAATGTCTTTCTCACAATGCGGTTTTTTTATGGCACTGTTGGACAGGTCCCGGTGGTTGTCGGTGCATTTTTGACACGGCTAATTGGCGCCGAGCTGATTTTCAACCCCGAGCCCCCGGGCTAGAACCAGAGACAAAGCTGTAACCTAATTATGACCATGGCAGCTGGCGTCCGTCCTGCTTCATGATGCCAGCCGGTGTTACATCTCGGCCTCCTATGATTTTGCCCAGCCCGGGTCGAGATTTCTAGCGATTCCGCCCTACCCGCTAGTGATTTGATCCCCCAACCTCGCCCTCTTCAGCGATTTCGCCCCCCCCCCCCA